ATCATATTCAATAATTTGTTTGCAGGACATCCATGAGGCTAAAGAAGATGTAAATAAAATTAAAAATGAATGGGGTTTGCAAAGTATAATTGCACCCTTTAGATCTAACTCTAGAGGGGTGGCTATACTCTTTAATAATGACATTGATCTTACCATACACAGAACATTAGAGGATGAAAATGGTAATTATGTTATTGCTGATATAACTGTTGACGATAAAAGATTCACCCTTACAAATCTATATGGACCTAACAATGATGACCCAAATCTTTATCTAAAACTTTTCAACAATATTTGTAATTTTGATAATGAATCCATAGCTATTGTAGGGGATTGGAATTTGGTCATTGATCCTTCAGTTGATTTGGAAAATTATAAAAATATCAACAATCCTCAGGCATTAATATTGTATTAGACAAAATTGAATCCCTTGATCTTATAGTCATTTGGAGAGAACTGAATCCTGATTTAAGAAAGTATACCTGGTGGAGAAAAAAGCCTAGACAACAAGCAAGGTTGGACTTTTTCTTAATTTCACAAGACTTGGTTAATATTTCACTTGATTCTGATATCATACCTGGTTATAAAACAGATCATTCAGCCATTAGCTTTACTTTTTCAAACATTATCAACCAAGAAAGAGGAAGGGGTTATTGGAAATTTAACACTTCCTTACTCTTACATCCTGAATATGCTGATTTAGTAAGATCAATCGTGAGGGATACAATTGAAGAATATTTAGATACTGAACATAATGGTGAAAATGTTGATGATTCGGATATTAAATTGAAGATTGATGATAGCTTATTCTTGGAAACTTTTCTGATGAAAGTAAGAGGAAAATCAATCTCTTTTTCATCTTTTCTCAAAAAGAAAACAATAAATAAGACCAGTGAATTGGAAATTAAAATCAAAGACTGTGAAGATGATATTAGAAAAGATTTCCAAAATATTAATGAAGCCCTACTATCTGACCTTACAAAATTAAAATTGGAACTACAACAAATTAAAGAAGAGGAGATAAGAGGAATTCAACTTAGAAACAGAATCTTATGGTATGAGGAAGGAGAAACAGCAACAAAATACTTCTGCCATTTAGAAAATAGAAATTATGTCAGCAAAGCAATAAATAGAGTTATTACAGATAAGAATGAGGAAATTACTGACAGTAAATCAATATTAAATGAACTGAAAGAATTTTATAAAATACTTTATTCTTCAGACAAGAATTATAAAAATGATGACCACTTAGACAATGTAATAATTCCAATCTTGAGTGACCAATTTAGAGACAATTTGGAAAAAGAAATAGATATGAATGAAATATCATTTGCAGTAAAAGTATGAAGAATAACAAAAGCCCTGGAATTGATGGATTTCCTATAGATTTCTACAAGTACTTTTGGAAAGAACTCAAAATTTGGATTTTTAGATTTATCAATGATGTTTCAAAAAGAAATAAGATGTCTCTTACCATGAAGAGAGGAGTTATCACTTGTATACCTAAAGCTAATCAAGATAGAGCCTTATTAAAGAACTGGAGACCAATTACTTTATTAAATGCTTTGTATAAAATAATTAGTGCATGTATCTCTAACCGGTTAAAAATCACCTTAGACTCTTTGATACATAATAACCAGACTGGATTCATACCGGGTAGAATTCTTAGTGAAAATACACGGTTATTATATGATCTTATATTTGAAACAAAGAAAAGAGATATTCCTGGTCTTCTGATCTTAATTGACTTCGAAAAAGCTTTTGACACAGTTTCTAAAGAATTTATCAACTCTGTTTTACTAAAATTTGGTTTTGGGCCACAGATTATACGCTGGATTAATTTATTAACTTATGATACAACATCATGTGTTATTCAGAATGGACATCTCTCTGATTTCTTCCCTAATGAGCGGGGTTGCAGGCAAGGTGACCCAATATCGCCATATTTGTTTCTTTTTGTAGCTGAAATCCTTGGATGTATGATAAGACAAAATGATGATATAAAGGGTATTGTATATGTTCAGGAATATAAATTAGGACAATATGCTGATGATACTGAATTATTTTTGGATGGTTCAGATGAAAGTTTGTATGCTGCTATTGATATCATTAATACTTTTTACAATATGTCAGGATTAAGGATAAATATCGATAAGACTAAAGCAATCTGGATAGGCTCAAATGCAGGTAGAAGAGATATGATTTGTGAAGATTTGAATATAGAATGGCAAAAAAAGGAATTTGAAGTTTTGGGTATTAAATTCACACCTGATTTGAATGACTTATGGGTAATCAACGCAAAAAAAAGACTTGAAGAAATTAATAGATTATTGGCAACATGGAGAAAAAGACATCTCACACTGATTGGCAAAATCACTGTAATTAAAACATTGGCTCTTTCAAAACTGGTTCATATTTTCAATTCTTTACCTAATCCACCTGATGCATTTATCACTTCCCTTGAGAGACTATTTTTCAGATTCATTTGGAACGACAAAAATGATAAAATTAAACGGAGCACTTTGAAAAAGGATTATACAGAAGGGGGTTTACGCATGATAGATATTAAAACCTTTGTTAATGCCATGAAATTATCCACACTCAGACTCTATTTGAGAAAAACAAATATGAGTAATCCATGCAAGTTTCCATTAAATGATATACTAAAATATGGAGCAAATTTTCAGAATATTGTTGAAATTGATAATCCTTTTTGGAAAGATGTTTTATTGGCATGGAAATTATACTGTAATAAGAATACCATAGAAGCAGTCAACATTAAAGGAATTTTAGCACAACCTTTATGGCTGAATAATAATTTCAAAAACCCAAATCTCTTTATCAGGCATTGGGCTAAAAATGGAATTTTAACAATTAAGGACCTTTGTAATGAAGATGGTTTTATGTCTCTTGAAGATCTGAAGTTCAAATTTGATATTAGAGGTACATATATGGATCTTCGATATGTTTTCTATATCATACCTGAATCATGGAAATTGACCATAAAACAATACAGAAATATACATAACAATGATCTGGATGATAACTTTCTCTATAAAGATTTTATGGATTTGAAAAAAGGTTCAAGATTATTTTATGATAAACTCTTATCTGACAATATTAAACCTCATATTTGCCTAAAATGGGAAAACTTATTTTACGATACTGATTTTGATTGGCTTATGATTTTTAATATTTGCAGAAGGAATGTGAAAGATGTAAAACTTTTAGACTTTCAATTTAAATTTTTGCACAGAATTATTTATAGAAAAAAAGAACTTATGAAAATGAAACTGGTTGACAATGCAGTATGTAGCCTTTGTAATGTTGATAGTGAAACTTTATGTCATGTATATTGGGAATGTGTTGTAGCCCAAACCTTCTGGAAGGAACTTGAAAACTGGATAATCCAAAATATACAGAAATTTGAAATAACAAAGACCTTGGTTTGGTTTGGAATTTTGGGTAATAAGCCATTACTAAATCATATAATCTTATCTGCTAAAAAATATATATATACTTGCACTTTGAAGAAAATAATTCCAAAAGTTAATAATTTTTAAAAAAAATTGAAAGACATTTATACGGTTCAAAATTTCATATCCAGAAGGAACAATAAATCTGATCAATTTTCAGACAAATGGTTTCCTTTATTCTCAATATTTAATTTCTGACGTAATCTTTAATGAAAGGGGAATAATTGTTACTGGAGTATATTCTCTCTATGCTATCAGTTGACCTAACATTTGTGTTGAACCCAATGAACTTTGATCATGTATTTATGCATTTATTGCTTTACTTTATATGCTTGTACTCAATTATGGGAACAAATAAAAAGATTTTAAAAAACACAAAAAAAAAACAACCTCATTTATTGTATGAACAAGTGATTCCCTATCTACTGTAATAACAACTCATGTATATATTCTCTCAATTTGTTACTCATGTATCACTTGCTTGACAACGACATTAGAATCTATGTCGAAACGTCGCCTCCACATAATAAAAGAAGTTGTATATCCATAATAATTGTCTTTATTCTTCATCAACTCAACTTCTAAAATGCCCATCAAAGAAATAATTCAATTGGTTGGTGTGATTAAGTTGGTTCAGACAATTCGAATCCAGTCATGTCATAAAATATGTAATTCCCTTAGTCACATCACAAAATGAACGTTTCCGTTATTTCACGATATGACTATCGCATACGTGCAAATTGCATGTCAAAGGAAAGTCTAAATCTGTATTAGATATTCTCTAAACGTCAAGTCATACAACGCCATGCATGGTCAAAAACATTACTGAAAACATTTAATACTATCCAGAAATTACGAATGGCGACTGAGCTCCCGTTTGTAGTCGATCATGCGCAGACAGCACTGAATTATGGGTAATATTGCTTTCTCGCTCTATCGCTTTCTGGCTCTATCGCTTTCTCGCTCTATCGCTTTCTCGCTCTATCGCTTTCTCGCGCAATGATATCGCTTTCTCGTCTCGTGGTATCGCTTTCTCGTCTCGTGTTATCGCTTTCTCGTCTCGTGTTATCGCTTTCTCGTCTCGTGATATCGCCTTCTCGCCTCCGAATTTTATGGCGAGAAAGCGATGGCCCTAATCAGCCACCATACTTTCCACCTCCCACTTCCCAGCTCCCATTCCCAGCTCCCACTTCCCAACTCTCACTTCCCAGCTCCACTTACCACCTCCGAATTCCCAGCTCTCATTCCCAACCCCAACTTCCCAGCTCCCACTTCCCAACTTCCACTTCCCAACTCTCACCTCCCATTTCCCAACTCCCACTTTCCAACCCCCACATACCAGCTCCCACTTTCCAACTCCCACTTCCCAGCTCCCATTCCAAAATCCCACTTCCTAGCTCCCACTTTCCACCTCCCATTCCCAACTTCCACTTCCCACCTCCCACTTTCTCCAACTCCAACTTTAAAACTCCCACTTCCCAACCCCCACTTCCCAGCTCCCATTCCCAACCCCCCACTTCCCAACTACCACTTCCCAGCTCCCACTTCCCAACCCCCACTTCCCAACTCCCACTTCCCAACTTCCACTTCCCAACTCCCACTTTCCAACTCCCACTTTCCAACTCCCACTTCCCAACTCCCAACCCCCACTTCCCAGCTCCCATTCCCAACTCCCACTTCCCAACTTCCACTTTCCAACTCCAACTTTCCAACTCCCACTTCCCAACTCCCACTTCCCAACTCCCACTTCCCAACTCCCAACCCCCACTTCCCAGCCCCATTCCCAACTCCCACCTTTCGACTTCCAATCCTGGACTCTGATTTTCCGCCTGACCCTCGATTTCGACCCTTTCGATTTCGACCTCGACTTTCTCGAGCCTGATTCCGACTTCCGACCTTTGATTTCGACCTCCGGATGCCGACCTCTTTTCCGATCCTTCGACTTTCTGACCTTCGATTTTCCGGATCTTTCGATTTCGAGTTCTGATGACCTCGGATTTTTCGGTTTCGACGCCGACCGACGCCGACCTCCGATTCCGGACTTCGATTTTCTCGACTTCCGGACCTTTGATTTCTGTTTCCGATTTGATCCGATTTCGACCTTCGACTTTCCGACTTTCCGGACTCGACTTCGACGACCTTTCGATTTCGATCTTCGATTTCTGATTTTCGACTTTCGACTTTCTCTGATCCGATTTCGATCTCTGATCCTTCTGACCTCTCTGATTTCTCTGGACTTCGACTTTCGAAAGATGATCTTCGGACCTGATTTCGTCTTTGACGATGATTTCCGACCCTCGGATTTCGACCTGATTTCCGACTCTTCGACCGGACGCTCGACTTTCCGGACCTTTGCTCGACCTTGATCCTTTCGTTTCTCGACTTCATTCCCCGATTTCGACCTGACGATGATTTCGATCCTTTGATTTCGACCTTCTTCGACTTCCGGACTTCGATTTTCCGGACCTTCGATTTTCGACTTCGACTGCCGATTTCTTCGATTTTCGATCCTGATTTCCGATTTCCTGACCTTTCGATTTCCGAGCTTCTTTCGACCTTCGATCTTTCCGACGCCTGATTTCGACCTTCGACTTTCCGACCCTCGATTTCGACTTCGACGCCGACCTCTGATTCCTTGACCCCGACCTTTGATTTCGAGCCTGACGAGACCCCTGATTGAATTTCGATGCCGATGACTTCGAGCTTTCGACCTTCGATTTTCGACCTTCGATTTTCTGATCTTCGATTTTCTGACTGATTTCGACTTCTGATTTTCCGGATCCTGACGCCGATTTTTCGACCTTCGGATTTCTGACCTTCGATGACCCGATCTTTCGATTTTCTGACTTCCGATTTCCGATCGCTTCGATGCCGACCGACTTTCGACTTCGATTTCGATCTTCTGATTTTCGACCGGACCTCGGATTTTCTGATTTCTTCGATTTCGATCCCGAGCTCTTCGACTCGATTTTCGAGCCTGGACATTTTCGACTTCGATTGAGACTTTTATTTTTCTGATCTTCGACTTTCGAGCCTGGATTTGAAGCTTGATATCTCCGGATTTTTCTGACCTCTGATGCCGGACCTCCGATGCTTGACTTCGATTTTCGACCCCCGATTTTCGATTTTTCGATTTTCTTGATGACTTTCGGACTTCGGATTTTCTGAGCTTCGATGCCGATCCGCCGACGCCGACTTCCGACTTCTGACCTCTGATTTTCCGACTTCGGATTTCGACTTCTGATTTTCGACCCTTCGACTTTCGACCTTTTCGATTTTCGAGCCTGACTTTCGAATTTTGACTCCGGATTTTCGACTTTCTCGAGCTTCGATTTTCCGACCTCGATTTTTCGAGCCTGATTTTCGACCTTTCGATGACCCGATTTCGACCTGATGATTTTCTGAGCCTGATGCCGATCCTCCGATTTTTCGGGATTTTCGGATTTCGACCTCTCCGGACCCTTGTTTTCGATCCCGGATTTCGCTGACTCGGATGCGTTTTCGACCTTTCGACTTTCGACTTTCGGACTACTTTTCGATTTCATCGACTTCTGATTTTCGAGTTTCTGACGCCGACCTCGAGATCGACCTCGATTTTCCGGACCTCTGATGCCGATTTCGATTTTCGACTTCCGATGATCCTCTGATGAGTTTTCGCCGATCTCCCGATTTCCGAGTTCGATTTTCCCGACCTTTATTTTCGAGCCTGATTTTCGACCTTCGATGCCGATCCGGATTTTCGAGTCGATTTTCTCGAGCCTGATTTTCGGACCTCCGATGACCGGATTTTCGACCGATTTTCTGAGCCGATGCCGACCCCGTGACGCCGACTTCCCGATTTTCGCCCGGATCCGATGCCGGACCTTCCGATTTTATGACCTCCGATTTTCTGGACTTCGACTTTCCTTTCGAGATTTGATCGAATCTTTGATTTTCTGATCTTTCGACGCCGACCCTCGATTTTCGACTTCGATTTTCGACCTTTCGATTTTCTGATTTCGACTTTTTCGAGCCCGATTTCCGACTTCCGAGATTTCTGGAGCCCTGATGCCGACCGACGCCGACCTCTGATTTTCCTGATCTCCCGATTTTCCTGACCTCGGATTTTCGACCTCGATTACTTCGACCTCCCTGATTTTCGTTTTCGGGATTTTCTCGAGCCCGATGATCCTAGATTCCTTTCGACCTCCGATTTTCTACTTCCGATTTTCGATTTTCTTTCTTAGTCGACTTTTCGCGATTTCCGACTTTCGAAGCCTTCCGATTTTCTGACCTTCGATTTTCTGGACCTGATTTCCGAGCCTTTTCCGACCCCTCGGATTTTCTATGATCGATTTCGATTTTCTGATTCCGGATTTTCTGATTTCCGGATGCTGACCCCTGATTTTCTGACCTCTTCGATGCCGACTCTCGATTTTCTGGATCTCTGATTTTCGATCCGGATTTTCGATTTCGACTTCGAGCCTGATTTTCGACTCCCGATTTTCTTGACCCTCCGATTTCGAACTGACCGATTTTCGACCCGATTTCTTTCGATTCCGATTCCGACTTCCGATTTTCTTGATTTTCGGACCGACTTTCCGGACTTCGATTTTCTTCCCTTTCGATTTTCTGATCCCCGATTTTTGACTTCTCGATTTTCGACCCCTGATTTTCTGACCCTCGACCTTGATTTTCGAGCCTGATTTTCTGATTGATTTTCTCGACTTTTCGGATTTTCTGAGTTTCCGCGATTTTCGACTTTCTGAGACCCCGATTTCGATCCTGATTTTCCTGATCCTGATTGGTTTCGACCCTGATGACCTCTGATTTTCTGACCTGATTTCGCTGATTTTAATTGATTTTCGGACCTCGATCCTTTCGATTTTCGATTCTGACCCCGGATGACTGATTTTCGATTTTCGATTCTTTCGGTGATGATTTCGATGACCTTCGATTTCGGATTTTTCCTGACCTCTGATGCCGACCGACGACAATTTCGATCCTGACTTCGATTTTCCGGACTTCCGACGACCTCTGACGCCGACCCTCTGATTTTCGGATCTTTGATTTTCGACCCTTCGATTTCGACCCCCGATTTTCTGAGCCTTTTTGATTTTCTCGACCTTTCGAGCCTCGATCTTCGAGTTTCGATTTCTGATTTCATTTCTGACCTCTGATTTTCGAGCCTGATTTTCGACCTTCGATTTTCGATCCGATTTTCGAAATTCGGATTTTCTCGATGAGCCGGACCGCCGACCTCTGATTTTTCTGGACTTCCGATTTTCGACCTTTGATTTTTTTCGGACTTCCTGATTTTCTGACCCTCTGATTTTCGATCTCGATTTTCGGATTTCGGATTTTTTCGACTTCTGATTTTTCGGATTCCGGATTTTCTGATTTCTTCGAGCTTCGGATTTGACTCGACCTTTTCGATTTCTGAATCGATTTTCGACTTCTGATGCCGATCTCCTGATTTTCTCGGACCTCTGATTTTCTGACCTCCGGATTTCTCTGGACCTTCGATTTTCTGACCTTCGATTTTCCGACGCCGGACTTTTCGACCCTTTATTTTTTCGATCCCGGATTTTCTCTTTTCGATTCCTGATCCCGATTTTCGAGTTCTGATTTTCTGATCCCTGATTTTCGACTTTGAGCCGACCTTTGATTTTCTAATCCGATTTTCGACCTTTCTGAGCTTCGATTTCGATTTCCGATGACCCGATTTTCTGACCTCTCTGATGCTGACCTCCGATTTTCTGACTCCGATTTTCTGACCTTTCGATTTTCGATCTCGATTTTCGAGTTTCGATTTCCGAAGCCCGATTTTCGACTTCCGATTTTCCGATTTTCTCGACCCGGATTTTCGACTTTCTTTAGTTTTGACTTTCTGATTTCCGGATTTTCTGACTCGACTTCCGGATTTTCTCGGACCGCCGATTTTCTCGATCTTTCGACTTTTCGACCTCGATTTTCCGGAATCTCCGGATTTTCCGGACCCCGGATCTTGACCGATCCTCTTGATTTCCGATTTTCGACCTTCTGATTTTCTGATTTTTCGATTTTGCCGATCTTCGACTTTGCCGAAGTTCTCTGATTTTCGACCTTTGATTTTCGACCCTCTCGATTTTCTCGATCTTTCGATTTTCGAGCCTCGATCTCGACTTCGATTTTCGGATTTCGGACGCCGACTTCCGACGCCGATTTCTTTCTGAGCCTTTCGACCCCCGATTTTCTGGAGCCTGACTTTCCGGATTTCGACTTTCGATTTTCTTCGACTTTGATTTCGATCTTTCGATTTTCTGAGCCTGATTTCCTGACTTCCGAGTTTTTCTGAGCCTTTGATGCCGACCGACCTTCGATCCTGATTTTTCGACTTTGATTTTTCCGACCCCCGGATTTTTCGATCTCCGATTTTCCGGACTTCTTCGACTGGACGGATCTTCGATTATTTTTCTGATTTCGATTTTCGACTTTCTGATTTTCTGAGAGCCTGATTTTTCCGGACCTTTCGATGCCGAAGCCGGATTTTCGGATTTCGATTTTCGGACCCCGATTTTCTTGAGCTTCTGATTTTCGACCCCGGATTTCGACCTTCTCGATTTTCCGGACCGGATTTTTCTGATCTTTTCGATTTTCGACCGACGCCGAAAGATCTCGATCTGATGCCGACCGACGCCGATGCCGGACCTTCGAGTTTCGACCTCTCCGATTTTCGATTTTCGATTTTCGATTTGATGGTTTCCGACTTTCCGGACCCCGATTTCGATTTCCGATTTCCGGATCTTCTGACTTTTCGGACTTCCGATTTTCGATCTCGCCGATTTCGATTTCTGACCTTTCGATTTTCTGATCTCCGGACGCCGACCTCTGATTTTCGGACTTCTGATTTTCGACCCTCGACTTTCGACTTCGATTTCGACTTCCTGGATTTTTCTCGACGCTGACCGACGGATGACTTCCGGATTTTTCGACTTCCGACTTTCGACCTCGATTTTCTGATCCCGCCTTGAATCTCGATTTTCTGACCTTCGATTTTCGACCCTTTGATTTTCCTTTCGATTTTCCGGACTTCGACTTTCGAACGACTTTCGATTTTCCGACCTCGATTTCTGATTTCGATTTTCTCGATCCTTCGATTTTCCGGACTTCGATTTCTCGACCCCCGATTTTCTTGACCTCTCACTTTTCCGACTTCCGGATTTTCGACTATCCCGACTTTCGACTTCCGGACCTCCGATTTTCGACTTCCTTCGATTTTCGACCCTCGACGCCTTTCCTGATCCTCCGACCGCCGAGCCCGGATTTTCCTGACCGATTCCGATTTTCGATCGATCGCCGATTTTCCGGACTTTCGAGCCGGAGCCTTTTCCGGACCTTCGACTTCTGAGCTTCCGATTTTCCGAATTTCGACTTTCCGACGCCGGACTTTTCCGAGCCTGACTTTCTCGACCTTCGGATCTTCGATTTCCGAAAGTTCGACCTTTCCGCGCCGACCTTCGATTTTCCGACCTCCGATTTCGACTTCGACCCCGACCGACCTGATTTTCGACCGACTTCCGATTTTCGACCTCCGACTTTTCGAGCTTTGATTTCGACTTTCGATTTTCGACCTCTGACTTTTCGACGCGATCCCCGATTTTCCGGATTTTCGAACCGATTTTGAATCTCCCGACTTTTCGACCCCCGGATTTTCTTTCGACCTTCGGATTTTTCGACCTGGTTTTCTCGACCTTCCGGATTTTCCGGACCCTTTGATTTTCTCGATCTTCGCCGATCTTCGATTTCGATCCGATTCCCCCGACCTTCGATTTCGAGCTTTCGATTGCCGACTTCCGACGCCGACCTCTGATTTTCCGACCTCTGACTTTCCGACTTTCGAGTTTTCGATCTTCGGATCTTTTCGATTTTCCGACTTTCGACCGACGATGACTTCTCGAGCTTCGATTTCCCGATTTTCGACCCTGACCTTTTCGATTTTTCGACCTTTCCGACTTTCCGATTTTCGATTTTAACTCGACGCCCCGACTTTCCCCGATTTTCGACCTGATTTCGATTTTCGATCTTCCGGATTTCGACTTTTCGATGACCGGATCCTGATTTTCTGATTTTCTGATCGACCTGATGCCGACTTCGATTTTTCGGATTTTTCGATCTTTTCGACTTTTTCTTCGACCCGGATTTCGATTTCGACCTCTGTTTCCGATCCGACCCCGATTCGGACTTTGTCGATTTCTGACCTTCTGACCTCCGACTTTCTTTCGACTTTATTTTCGACTTCTTTTCGACTTTCCGACCTTTGATGCCGATTCCTCTGATTTTCTGACTGACTGATTCTCGACCTTTCGACCCATGATTTTCCGACCGATTTTCTGATTTCCGATCTCGATCGATTTTGTCTTCGATTTTCGACCCTGATTTTCGACCTTTCGATTTTTTTGATTTTCCGGATTTTTCGAGTTCGGTTTGACGCCGACCTCTCGATTTTCTGGATCCGGACCGATCTCGATGCCGACTTTCTGGACCTTTTTTTCTCGACCTTCGACTTTTTCTGACCTCTGATTGATTTTCTTGATCTCGACCTTCTGATTTCTCGAGCCTGATTTTCGGACTCCGGATTTTCTGACCTCTGATTTTTCGAGACGCCGATCTTGTTTCGACTCGGTTTTCGACTTTCGATCCTTTTCGACTCCTCGATTTTCTGAAATTGATTTTCTTGACCTCTGATGCTGATTTTCGACCTTTCTTTGATTTTATTTCTTTTCGATCTTCGATTTTCTGCCGATCTCTTTGATTTTAATTTCGTGAACTCTAACCTGATTTTTTCGACCTTCGGATTTTCTCTGATTTTCTGACTCGATTTTCTGATTTCGATTTTTTCGACCTCTGATTATTCGATTTCTGCTGATTTTCGACTTTCTCCGACTCGACCTTTTTCGACTTCGATTTTCCATTTTTCTCGACTTCCTGACTTTTGATTTTCGAGCTCTGAGTTCGAAACTTCTGATTTTTCTCTACTCCGACTTCCCACCTCCCATTTCCAACTTGATTTTCCGATCTCTGATTTTTTTGAACTCCGATTTCCGACTCTCTGACTTTTCGATCTCCGAGCCTTTGATTTTCGTTCGACTCGACTTTTGGATTTTTCGATTTCCTGAGCTTTCGAGCTTCGATTTTGCTCTGACCACTTTCGACCTCGAGACTTTCGACCGAACGCTCTCGTTCCCACTTCCCAACTCCCACTTCCCAACTCCCACTTCCCAACTCCCACTTCCCAACTCCCACTTTCCAACTCCCACTTCCCAGCTCCCACTTTCCAACTCCCACTTCCCAACTCCCACTTCCCAACTCCCACTTCCCAACTCCCAACCCCCACTTCCCAACTCCCACTTCCCACCTCCCACTTTCCAACTCCCACTTCCCAACCCCACCTCCCAACCCCCACTTCCCAACTCTCATTCCCAATTTCCACTTCCCAGCTCCCGTTCCCAATTCCCTCTTGCAAACTCTCACGTCCCAACTTCCACTTCTCAGCTTCCCTTCCCGTTTCCTACGTACCAGTTCCTCTTACAAACTCTCACGTCCCAGCTCCCACTTCCCAGCTTCCCTTCCCTTTTCCTACTTCCCAGTCCCTCTTGCAAACTCTCACGTCCCAACTTCTACTTCCCAACTCCCCCTGCCACCTCCGAATTCCTAACTTCCACTTCCCAACTCCAAATTCCAAGCTCCCACCTCCGATTTCATAACTCTCACTTCTCAGATCTCGGTTCCCACTACGCTTCCTTACGCCCACTTCCCAACTCCTACTGTTCAACTAAGTCATGTACAAGAATACCTTAAATCCATGGACATGAACACCTCCTTGGTTACATGCAGTTTCTGAATCATTTCCAGAATCATGATTTTTATAAGTGCAGTCGTCAGAAACACCGGTATTCAAGATATCGCGATAATAATTATCAGTTGGAGGGGTCTACATGATGGTAATCATTATCACTTGACAATGGCTACCCCGGACGCAACATCTGCGTCAACCTAAAAGGATCGCCTAGTCATTATGAGTAAGTAATGAATTGGAATTAACGCTGGTTTGAACAGTATTTTACCTTATATCCTGGCGTGACAGCATAATGAAGGAAGTAGATCTTTACGTCATGACCACGGGTATTGTACCATGGGCAGATGACTATTGATAGCCAGATCCTGACAGCGGACAGGCGGTACAAGTCGGATCGCGTTCCACGATAGCTCGAGATAATCAGGTTACGCCATAATAAGATGTAGCTGTATTGTGACTCAGAAAATTGTTAATACAATCTACAGTTGCATGAGACATGAACTTGACATTATCTATACAACGTATTGTATCAACCAGCAAATATGCCCACGTTTGAGCAGCACCAATTATATAATGTCCGTTGGGAGACTACGGATTTTATTTCAAGACTCTCAACAAAGACATAACGGTGTGGCCGAGCCCGTGGTTGTCAGATAACACAAACCGGTATTGTAGAATGTTGAATGTTGAATGTGAGTGGACTGCTTCCGAAATTAACTGACAATACCTTTTCTTTATGTGCTGGAAACTTTGATTTCGTGGGTATCTGGGAGACTGTGAAACTGCCTGGGACAATACTGCTGAGACACTAGGCGTAGACACGCAGACGTTACAGCTGATTCATCAGACTGAACCAAATATTCATAAGATATAAATATACAGAGGGGCGAAAGAAAATATTCTGAGCTTGTTTAATGCAACTGAATATTGAATAACCGTTAACATTAAACATTCCTGTAGCAGTTTGTACACAATAATTGCTCAGTGCTGGGTAATTTTGTGTGGAGATAACTTGGTTCAGTTGAGACAGGTAAAGGAATTAATTTCCCACGACCTGACTGATAGTTAATATGAAATGTTGTAAATGTGTGCCAAAAAACCCATACATTTATTAATGTTCGAAGAATAAGAAGAAGATATGAATGATAAAATGTTCACCAGTGTATTTATGTCACTCTAAAACAAATCAAGGTGTCAGATTTCCAAACATCGCCAATAACGACTCCAAATGGTTTGCATCATAAAGCAGTAACAGAAAGTAATTGAAAGAGAATGACGGCGATGGAGTCTTTGTCAGCGAATCTGATGCGTGCAGTCATGCTGTAGCCATATTAATAGATATATCTGACTCTCTAAGTACCAGGGAGGAAATATCTAAAGCCATTGCGGAAATGAAATACAATAAATAGGTATTGATTATATAACGGAATATTGTGGTGGGATATATATAGTGAGGAAGATACATTTGTACCGTATATGCAGATTGTATTTAAAACACTGTTTAGTGCATGTTATTTTCCAGCTTCGTTGTTTACTGGCATAATTATTCCATTACATAGAAAAAGTGATACGCTATCCCCGAATAATTTATGTTCACAACCGTAGGGGGCACCATTAAGACATAACTTCTCATCCATATGATCATATCTGCTGGGGAGAAGAAGATCACATCTAATGGCTTCTAATGGGTCGTTTAATGAGATGGTGGCGCATTAGGTCGTAAAAGAGAAAAGCATTTATCAACCAAAGTCAGTAATTTCCGATAGCAAGAATTCCTCGATGTATGCTTCTGATGTGTCGATCAATGTCATTTTTACTTATATTGTTCCACTCAAATGGATGACAAGTGGACACACACATGCCATGTGTGCAAGATTTCACACAATCTGAACACAAACATGTACTCCAACACCAGTTGCCGGCTGGGAGTCGAGAGCGATCATCGGTGTTATGTGTTTGTTGGTATCTGGCTCACACTCAACTGCTGACAGATGCTGACACATGCAGCGTTTGGGCAAACCTATTCTGGCGTGTGCCCGCCCGCAATCTGCTAAAGGCACGTAAACGTTCAACACCTTGCAAACGGAGTATGATCAAAACTTCCCTAGTGATTAAATGTCTTGAATATATAAGTGTCCGTTTGTCGCCAGAAAAAAAGCGTCTGCTGATACACGAGTCTGGGTCACAGGGTAAATTTGGCATTCCGCGTTCTGTCCGCGGTGACGTGCTTCATGTTGTGTTTGGGAGCTTGACTTCTTCAAAGATGTTCTTGCCACTTAAATCACTTTCTTTCACCGCTAGGCATCGACGAATGTTCTCGTATTTTTTCCTGAAATAAAAACATTCCCCACTGTCTGCCTATCATACATAAATTATAGAGAATAAGAAACAAACTGCATCGCCATTGTATGATAAGTCTGTGGCCTACAATATTGACTGAATCAAGTTGATTGACGGGTATATGTTCACCACTCTGCAACATTAACTTTTGCTTTAGGACAACATATAACCCCTACGGAGTGCTTTGCGAAAGTCATTATAAGAGATCAATAAAATACAAATCCCTCAACAACATCAATAACTTTGAGATGATTCATTGTCGACTTTAAACACGTTATTGGTGGTCATGGTACACCGTTAAGTAGGAAATAATGAAACACGAGGTGATCAATGTCCAGGTTTTTGTCCAGTGCAGGGCTGGAGGAGTCCCGGAACTCGATGTGCGTGTTCGGTGCTGGTGTATCGTCTTGTATAGCCGATTGTGTTCCAGTGGAACACGAAGCAGTCTCATTGGCGCATGATCGAGAGATATACTCATACTAATCTTCAAAGCAATTTTTGTGCGCTGATGAGTTGTATATAGGTGGCATTGAAAATAGTGATTTCATACATCACATGTTGCATTCGCGATTAAAGCTTGTGTAATCTAAACTTTTCGTTGACAATGATATTGTTGCAATTGGTCTTGTTTTAGTTCATTTGTATTTTGGAGTGTGCCGATCACTTGGTCAAAGGTCATGAAGTTGATGTGAATAGTCCTACCTTTCTGATACCTTTTGATATTTTGTTTGTAATCGACAAAGTTTATGGCACATGTACATTGTACACTAGATTACCATGTCGGGTAGATAAGCTCGTTGCATGTACACTGCTCTGCCTTGAAAACCTTATCTGCAAGCTACACTATCAGTACAGAGCGGACAAACACAAGTTCGACCACATGTTGGTGATAAGGATCTCAACTGTAATACCGTATCTCTGAAGTACAGAACGTGAGAGCGAGCACAAAGCTTTAATTGAACTGTGGGGGAAACACTTTCCTTGAATAACTCTAGGGCCTGTGGCGTTTATTTAAGAATGTCATGTGTATGGACACAGACTGAATCATTGTGTAACTGGAGAGACAGAAGGATAGCGAGTAGGGTAAAGGAGAATGGACGTACAATATACTCTAACTTGCCAATAATCATAGTGTAAACATCTCCGTTATATTGATCAGGTTGGTGCTAGATACGAAGAATACATTTTCCATGCTACAGACTCCCTGGTGCGAGGACAGCGGGTATTCCACATGTTATCTGAATCCCCTGGTTGATATCCTGCGACAGATCCATCGTCCAGTCCGATTACACCTAAGAGATGAAGACAGATAACACAGGCCCGATAACGGCACGTGATATATAGCATAATTGGGCTATTACGTGTAATCCATCAACCATAATTCATAGCAATCTTGTTTAAAGTTGACATCTGCGACAGAAGTTGTAGCGAGAATGTTGACAGTTGTGATGGCCAACAACACAGGCACAAAGACCTGCCAGTGTACATGGGACGACAATGTCGCATAAGACGGCAAGAGCGTGAGTGAGTAAGATGGGTTTAACCCTGCTTTGCACAATGCATTTTGAACCCCTTTTTGCAGTGATTCTGTTGTTTGGCATTCCTGAATACGTCATGTGAAAACAATTAACCAAAAGACAAGAGTCTGCTGTACATTGAATCCTATGTTTCATGGTTATATGTATGTTGTGAAGGATATTCTCCTGTTCACCGAAGTGCACCACAACCAATAACATATATTTGCTTTCATGCTGTAGTACGTGAGTGAGTGTAATCTCACGTTGTAATTTGTGAGGATCGCCCGACATGATCCAGAGATAACATGAACACTTGCTGCTTATCAAATTCCCATTTTCTATGATTTACAGTCAGATGTCATACTTTCTGAAAGACGGATTTTTCAAATGATCGTCCAATGCATCTGATATACTCTTAAGGTTGTTGATATGTCTCTGTATCTGGTAGGCGTCAAGTTGCATCATTGATAGTCTAACCATGTTCTGATAAAGTACATCTGGTGGGATCTTATCCCTTACAAGGTAAAACCTATTCACAAACGTACCTTGAACAATTCTGTTGATACAGTCTTCAATTCTTGATATAGCGAATAAGTCAGTCTGGCTTGACATTGACAGGTGCTCTGGTGCTGTCAGGCATGGGTAGCCGGATACACCGGGAACTCTACCCACTGTCACTTGGTTCAGTGACGCCTTGTTCGAACATATACTTGACTTCTTTTCGGGGATGCTCCAGCTTGATCGCGTGTATGCGATACGGATGTTGTTTCACAGCTACACCATCTATCTCATAACTAACTACGTGTATGTCGTTACAGCGATATACACAAATGAATTCAATCTGTCAGCTATCTCTGTTGTTCTGGGGTAAGCTCTGAACTTTTGCCAACAATCAAGGGAAATTTGTCCATATGACAGTTCTTCTTACAATCCATCGCTTCCTGCATCATAGACCAATGGCTCTCACTTCCAGGTTTATGAAAAATCACAGAGAGAATAGTAGCTAATCGCCTGAACTATTACCTTGAGCTCGTGGTGTGGGAGACTGTCAGTTTTACCTGAAGTGATGGCGATGCATACTATAGACATGATACCTAAAAGTATGATCTTCTTAACCAACTACTGTTAGGATTCAGAAAAGGACGTTCATGTACAGATCAGTATGGTGGTCTGGAAACTGAAGCACAGCAAGCTGTACAACCAAGAGTACATGCTGTGTGTCTTTCTTGATAATATCGTTAAAGCTAATGACATGATTTGGAGACAAAATTTGCTTTGCAAATTGTGGAGACTTGAAACGACGGATCGTTTTGGAGACGGTTTAGTAATTTTCTGTTTATCTTGGAATCTATCTAAAACTGCTAAAAGTAAAATCAGTGCTTGGTGTTCATAATGAGATAAGATCTCCCAATCAAAATAGTTGGCGATGATGATCACAAGACGTAGAATCCCCAATAATATAAATCTAACTCTTGGACACCATAAATGTGAAATGGGGTCAGTGTTCACAGTTATTAGTGTTTGTTTTGATCAAAGATTAACATGGTCATACCATATAACACATGTAACATGATCACGAATCTATTAAAGTGTATTTAATAAACGAAGTGGGTGCTGATGCTGATACGTCAACTATGTTATTGCTTTACAAGTCTTATCTAGACTTGACTTGAGTGCCAGATGTTTATGTCTGCGTCTAAATGTCATCTTTATAAGCTTGACCGTATTAAGTCTGAAGCTTTGACAATCTGCAGAGGGGCCATTGTAACAACTCTAATGTCACCGTTCAGGTTTGGTGTTCCCAAATTATTCTCTTCACCTTCGAAAGACTACAGCTATCTAGGAAGTTTTTCTTAAAATGAAAAGAAAGCAAGGCTTCTGCCGCAGCCTGGATTGAGTTCTGAACTCAAATAATTGTGAATAAGAAAATGGACCAAACCAATGTAAAAGTTGTAACTCAAAACTTACTCTCAGAACGTTGTTCTAATTCCAGGTATCACTAATCATTCTGCCAAATCCGGATTATGATATTATGAAGACTTAGTTGATTTTTTAGAATTTCAAAATGCCTACAGGATTATCATTGACAAGGCGGTCTCTTCTAAATGTGGCCATTGCAATTTGGAACACTATGCCCTAGGAATGAAAAAGTCGGACAAATTTACTGCACTTGAAGTTGAAGATACATTTTGTTCAGTTACAGTCTGGGGCTCCAAAATATGACGTAATCCATACAGGCTTAGACAGATTGAGTTGAGTGATTTTAAATCATTTTAACTGTCTGAAATGCTGATCTACTGCTTGTTTTTGATTGAATTGGTATTTCATGTTTCAGAAATAAAAGCTAACACGTAAGGTTTTAATCAGTAAGAAGCAGAGGTTATTATTTGGAGTGGATTTTTTGCTGTCTCCAGTGTTTCATATGTATATATGTACCCAAATGAACATTAATAACACTGACGTCTCACTTATGTTATCTTAACGATTGGATTTGGATTCATTTTTGCGATATAATATTAACCATTGT